ACACATATTGACCGGAAATTTATTGAACTCGTGAGCAATCACCTCACGCAGTTGTTTCACACTGTCAATGGGATTAGCGTACACCTTGTCTGTGAGGTAACCTCGAAGGAAAAAGTCTGGTTGGGTGATGTCGGGTGATCGGGCTGGCCACTCCACAGGTCCTCGACTGCCAATCCAGCGTTGAGGAAAAACTTGATGCAAGAACGCCCGAACAATATTGGCGAAGTGCGGTGGGGCACCATCTTGCTGCCACCACAGTTCATCAAAGTTCTCTCTCCTCTGAAGTTCTGGGATGACACTTTCCCTCAGCAACTTTAGGTAGGTTTCCCCCGTGATGCAACATTCAAAGAAGAACGGGCCAATCAGTCCTTCGTACGTCACGCCGCCCCACACCATTACTCCCGGGGACTGGAAATCGTATTCAATGGTGGCACTGGGGTTCTCTGGCCGCCAAAACTCGCAGTTGTGTCTGTTGACCGATTATGATGTGTGAAATTTGGCCTCATCAGTCCAGACAATATTCCGGATAAGGTCAGGGTTCACCTGAAACTTGGTCAGCACCAACTCGGCGAACTCAAGTCGCCTGTCGAAGTCGTCCTCGTTAAGAACATGAATAATCCGTGGATGGTATGACGTCAGCTTCATGTCACTCAAAACTCTCCGCAAAATTATCCTCGAAATATCCAGTAGGGCCGACAAACGGCGGGTAGACTTCGATTTCTGAGGAGATGATGCCAGTTCCTCAGAAACACGTGCTTGTGTGTCAGTAGTTCGGAGAGTTCTCGGGTGACCAGGATGCTTGGGATACAAAGCACTGACAGTTTCATCACACTGCGTGTTTATTCGGACGATTGTGTCCCTGTGTCTGCTGGCGGTCCAAACTTTTCCAACATCCTGCGCTGGACTTCTGATACATTGTTAGTAACTGAGAAAAGGCGCACACATTTTACACGCTGCTCGATAGACAACCGTCTACCGGCCATGACGTTTCCTCTATGCGCACTAAGCAGGCAGAATATTGACCTGGTTCACAGCATACCTTATGATGCTGCCATCTATCGACAACAGAAGGTACTTTCCCATTATCCCGCGTGTTGTTGGATTGGTTAGTTATTCATGATCAAAAACTGCATAATTGAGTCTGGTCCAACCTGCATAGCTCCCACGTAATTAATACGTGAAGACTTCTGAATAGAGATTGAATAGAATATTATGTAGGGTTTGTAAAGTGTGTAAACCCGTAACAGTGTGAAAATTTATTGTAGCCAAGACTTGTAGGTTGTTAAATAAACCAATTAACTATTTGAACGGCGTCTTCAGTAGCAAAACACGTTACAATCATCATCATCATCAGTAATCTGTCAAGACGACAGGTCCACAATCACTTCCAAAACAATTCCTCCACTTAATGCGATCTAGAGCTTTCGTTACAATACTATTCTTAATTATTTGTGTACTCTGAAGTTCGTCATTCCTAACTAAGTTTTGTGTGAACACTTATTACACTTTTCTGCTCAAATTTCGTACAAATTGACGATAAGTGCGAAGGTGGATGCATTTTGTAAAACAGAAGCCATTCCTAATATTGCATGCACAAAAACTAGTAATTATTTTGGACTGTATCTTCATGACGCCACACGATGCTTTCGAAAGAGTAAATCATCGAGGCACTGTTTAAACTCGACCATGAAGGTTTGGAGACAATGCTTGGAACTTTCAATTAATCTAAAAGATATGAGATGAATATTTCGAACTCATACATTTTATAGATATTTAGTATATTTTTAATTAATCCTCTGCTGTCAATGGCCTCGTGATTTATTTATAATAGAGCACACATTTCATGTGAACACTTACTCAAATTTTCTGTTCGAATTTCACATCTATCAAATTTAAGTCATTTCCAAATTAATTTTGTGCAAATAACAAATTTACTTCCCAAGAAAGAGATCCTTATCCAAAGATTCAAAATTATCTAAAACCTATTACATAACTGTTTTCAGTAACCTGCGTGTATATAAGATACACTTACTTAAATTACAACCCACACTTTTGCGTATTAGTTACAATGAGTTAATGACAATAATGCAGGATTAGAGAGGAATGATATCCACAACTATCCTACCTATGATTTTATTAGTGCACGTACCTTGGACGGTTCCTTCCCCTCATATTTCTTTTTCTAGGTTGCATTCTGCTTCTGCCTCTGCCTGCGGACATATCCTTCCTAAATGTAGACAGAAATAAACAAAGAGCTTTCTAATTTGTACAACAAGAATGAAAAAATCATTCTGAGGGGTCCTGATTTTCACCAATATTTACCAGCTTTAATATCTTATATTTAGCTGTCCCAGGAATTGCCAAATGCACGTAATATATAAATGGTCTCATTTCGTGCTTCTTGAGTTCGGCTCTTATCTGCACACAGTGGTCGGAAATTCAGTAGCTACATTTAGATTTAAGCAAAAATGTTGAGCCGTTATTTTTCGAGAACTTGTTTCTTCACACAATTTTGCTCAAAATCAGCTCTGTCTCTACGACTTGCCAAAATTATGCTTTTCTCTCCACTGAAATTCTTCAAGTAGCATGGAGACACGTTAAACCTGAGATACTGTTAGCTCTTTGAGGCTGTGCCAACCCGTGTATGCTGCTTGTGAATGGCAGCATAACTACCTAAATCTGTGTTGCAATTTCATGTATTTGCACAATATGTCTCATATATACCCACCTGCATAATATACGTGTACTGCTTCCAGACTTTCAAAAGGAATCAGTTTTGGCAAAAAGAGTAAGAAGCTGATGATAAATGGACACTGGATGAGTGCAGAAAAGTGGAAGGCCATCGAATATCTCATGAACAAAAATGGATGCTTGCCATCCAGTCAACCTCAAATACTCCCCTTAAGTGCGGGGCAGAATGGGAAGTACGAAAGCTGGGTGGTTACTTTAGATCATAAAGACATTATGCTGGAAAGCGCCCAGGTAATGCATCCTATATTTTATTAACAATAACATCAAATTGTTGTGATGAAAGGGTCTTGGTTATCTCCTTAATTTAAAGCTGAAATTTCATGTGAACACCGAGGAAAAACTTTCTGTTCCAAATTCATATCTCTTGAATTGTATATGTTTTTAGATTTATTCTAAAAATATGCCAACCTCAAAGCAAAAATTCAATGAGTGTTCAACAGTAATTTATTTCTCCCCAAAACGAATTTCTTCAGGGAATGTGTGATATTTTCTACAGATCTAGCACCACTATCTCTTTCTGGGTCCAACAGTTAAATGGAATTGCATTGCTTAATTCGGGCTGGACGACCAAGTGGTCGGAGTTCTTGTGCCGCACAAGGCAAAAATTTTCAATGGTCTATATATAAATCCACCCATACTTGTTTCATTATCCAGTGCTTAATTAGTTAAGTACAAGAAGAACTTTACCTGTCACAACCAAAATATTTACTCACCTGTTGCGTAGTTGTAAATGTGTGAAAGAAATAGGCAATAATCATTAATACTCGTAATTGTCTTGTCAGTTGTTAAAATATTCTCATGAATGCTGGGCTCTTCTTTCGGGACCTATAGGAAAATAAATACATAGGATCGAATATTTACAAGAAATTTTCCAATTTTCAATCTTAAAATTTATAGAAACGGGAAAAATAAAAACACTCGTTGCATCAATTTGTGCTTCTCACTTCATAGCTTTACCTACATTGGATGTAGTAAGAAGGAGATATATCTCACCAGATCTATTCTAATGATTTAGTGGCTGCATTTAAACGTGTTTTGTGTGTTCTACAATTGTTTGAGGTGTATGTCTGTCATTAAAGTAAATGTAGTTCCATCATGTGTCACATCTAATGTATCTGCACAATTTCTCCACATTTCTTAATTATTTGAGTCCTCTGAAATTCGTTATTATTAGTTAGTTAGTTAGTTATTTGGAGAGGGTGGGTGTCCCGATGCACTTAGACCAAGTATTGGCCCATTGTGCGTCACCCTTTACTATTCTACCAGTCTCTATACCCTACCGTTACTGGTGCGTGACTTCAGTCCCGACTCAGTCAGCGAGTTCGGCCTGTACTGGCTCAGCGGTATCTAGATGCTTCTCCCATCTACCAGAGGCGTTAGAAACTACTGTTGGGCGGGAAGTGTCCTGAATTTGGCACAGAGGTCTCCTTGAGACATGGGGTCCTTTTACGGTACCCACGGCTTAAAGTCCCTCCCGGAGGACTTGTTCCCTGAATTTTCCGCCCTTAAAAATTCCACGACCTCCGCCGGGTTTGAACCCACGTACCTTGAGTCATGAGCTGGGAACGTTACCCCTAGACTACGGAGGCCGCTTCGGTATTCTTAACTAAGTTCACAAGAGAAGTTTTGTATGAACACTTATTAAACATTTCTACACAAATTTAGTACAAATTGACGATAAATGCGAAGGCGGATGCTTTTGTAACGCAGAAATCATTCCTAATATTTCACGCACCAAAGTTTGTAACTTTTTGGACTATATATTCATAACGCCACATGATGTTGTCGAAAGAGTAAATTATGGAGGCACTGTTTAAAGGTGAACATGAATGTTTGGAGACAATATTAGGAACTAAAATATAGCCTGAAGGGTGTGTGCTGAATATTTCGAAATTATGCATTTTATATAAAATTATATTATTTTTATGAATTATGTAATATATGCGTTCAATATTTACGTAAGGTCCCACATTTCACGCGAACGCTTAAACAAACATTACCGCTGGAATTTCATATTTATCCAAATTAAGTCGTTTCCAAATTTATTATATGAAAATAGCACAATATGATTCCAAAGAGAGATACGTATGCGAAAGATTAAAAATTTGTCATCGTCTGTTGTAATATACTTATACATAATTTATATGTACTTATATTACATCCCAGAATACTGCATATTAATTACATTGTGTTGATGACAAGAAGAAATAAACCAATGCAGTACTAGAGAGGCATCCCATTCACAATTATCATACCTTTGATTTGATCAATACAGGTATCTTGGAAGGCTTCGCCCCTTTCCAGTCCCTCTTCTTTTTTGTTTGCTGCTCCTGCCTGCCCGCTTGTCCTTCCAAGACCTAGAGATAAAGAAGACAGCGCTATAATTTCATTGATTCATTCATCAGTAATCTGTCAGAAGACAGGTCCACAGTCTCTTCCAAAACAGGTCCTCCACTTAATGCGATCTCAAACTTTCTCCTTCAATTAAAATATCCTCTTCTGTCCCCAAGGTCATCCAGCATCTTCTTACGTCTTCTTCCTCGTCTTTTGGGCACTTCTATCCGCCCCTCCGATTTGTCTTATCATGGGATCTCTGTTTTTGTATAGGGACTACACAGGAAAAGTGATAATGTGGTAGTTTTTCCATTTGCTTTCCACATCGCAGTACAACAGCCGTTCAAACCACTCTGGTCACGTCTTTTGCTATACGCACTTGAACCATCTGGAGCATCATTTGCTCTGTGCTTCAAGTCGCTGCTGATGACGCTGCTTCCGGCATCAATTTCCGGCTCTAATTTATAGAGCACGAATGGAAAAATCATAATATAAGTTTCTGCTAAGACAGTTTCTTCAAAATTTTATACTTAATAGTTCATAATTGGCATTCCCGGCAAAAGCCAAATGCACGTAACACATAAATGACCTCATTTCATGATTCTTGATGTGGTTCTTTCCCGCATCTAGTTGTAGGAAATTCAGTAACTATAGTTAAACTTTAAGATAAAATGGTGAGCCGTAACTTGCCCAGAACGAGGTTCCACACACACTGTTTGTTCAAAATTAGCTCTGCCTACACGGCTTACTATCAGTTATATTTTGTTGACGACAATATGAAATAAACTAATGCTGGATTAGTGAGGTATTCCTATTACAAATATCCTACCTTTGATTTGATCAATACAGGTATCTTGGAAGGCTTCGACCCCTTCCAATCCCTCTTGGGTGTTGCTTGCTGCTCCTGCCTGCGGCATTGTCCTTCCGAGACCTAGAGATAAAAAAACACAGATCTCGAATGTAAAAACCATAATGTGGGTTTATACTAAGAGATTTTCCTCAATAAATTCCTCTTCTAATAGTTCATATATAGCAGTCCCGTCAAAAGCCAACACGTAACACATAAATGGCCTCATTTCATGTATCTTGATTTGGGCTCTTACACACATTCAGTTGTCGGAAATTTAGTAGCTACAGTTCATCTTTAAGCTAAAATGTGGAGCCGTAATTTGCCGAGAACTAGGTTCCACACACACTGTTTGCTCAAAATCAGCTCTGCCTCCACGACTTGCCGAAAATATACTTTGCTCTCTACTGAAATTCTGCAAATACTGTGAAGACACGTCACACCGCAGATACTGTTACCTCTTGGAGGCTGCGCCAACCCGTGTGTGGTGCATATTGATGGGAGCATAAATACCGAAATATTTTTCGAACTTCATGTATTTGCACGATACGAGTATATCTCTTGTATATCCACCTGCGTAATATATGTGAACTGCTTCCAGACTTTCAAAAATGAATCATTTTTTGGCAAAAAAGAAAAGGAAGCTGATGGTAAACGTGCAGTAGCTGTGTGCAGTAAAGTGGGAGGCCATCGAATATCCCACGAAAAACGAGATGTTTACCTTGGAGTCAGCCTCAAATACGCCACGTAAGTGTGGGGCAGAATGGGAAGTACAAAACTGGGTGGTTACGTTAAATTATAAAGATATTCTGCTGGAAAGGCCCCAAATAACTCATTCTATATTTTAGTAAAATTAACATGATACTTGTTGCAAAAAAAGGGGTATTTGTTATCTCCGTAAGATAAATATTTCTGGAATTTTATACATTTTTCGATTTATTGTAAAAATATGCCAACCTAAAAGCAAAAATTAAACGAGTGTTCGACTGTACTTTTAATTCTTTCCAATAAAGAGTTTATTCAGTGAATGTATTGTCACGTATTGGGTGTATAACGCGACAAATAACTTCACGCCGTGTTTGATATAGCGAATTTTATTTCACATTCGCTCTTACAATCACACTGTTAACAATCTGACAATTACTGCCATCGGCAGTATCACAAATACTACACTGCAAATGCCAGAATACAACTGACTGTTTGCTGGCTAACTCGGAACTCTCTCGGAACTAACTCGTAGGTAGCTGCCTTGAGAACTAACTGTGAATAGCCTTCGCTGCTCCTTATGTAGCCTCGTTCCGGACAACACAGAATACGGCCACGTAATAGGCACCCTTGTTGCCTGGCGCCGTGTTGCTAGCAACGCTGTCCGGAGTTGTTTACTGCTGCCTAGTAACCGCGGTATCCCGTGGTGACGTCACAGCCGTTGACTCGCGTTGCATAGCTACCAGGATGCTGGGACTCGGCTAACTTCGGCTCTGCTCGGCGCGTCGCGGCTGGCGAGGGGGAGGGGAGGGAGAATGTTGACCTGCCTATTACCATTGCGCAACACGTCACAGTATTTTTTTTTTCCACAGATTTAACACTAATGTAATAATCTAACTAATATACCCGTACGATTAGAGTGGACTCCCTTCCATAATCCTCTTACCTTTGATTTGACCAATACAGGTATCTTGGAAGACTTCTTGAAGTTGTTCTCGTTGTTTCTTGAATTTTTCTCCTGCCTGCGAACTTGTACATCCGAAATCTAGACAGAAATAAACACCGAGCTCTCTAATCTGTACATAACGCGGGGCTGTAAAATCTATATAAATAAAAACATAAGTGTTGGTTTGGCTCTACTCGAAGATCTCCGAAAGTTCTTCCCCGATTGCTTCGAAATTTTGACACAACGTTGCATTCGAACACGCTTGTGTTTTTATATGCCTATTATGTAGATGTCACACCCGTGACAGGTAAAAACAGGTAAAAGTATTAATTGTATTAAATATTAATGTACTGTAACGTGTTATACGTCGTCCATCGAATACCAACAGATCCTTGCCTAGGAAGAACCGTGGCAACGAACTGTTGAAACAGCGGGTCGTTGCCTTGGAATAACAGTCGCAACGAACTGTTGAAACAACACATCGTTGCCTTGGAAAAACCGTGGCAAAGAACTGTTGAAACAACGGAAATAATGCATTTCTGCGGCAACGAGCACAGAACACGTGAAATGGAACCTTGGGGGGAAAGTGCTCTCTATTGCGTCCGAAACCGGGTTATAATAGTCCAGCTCCGAAGAAATTTATTGTGGTACTGGACGTGATAATAATTGTGCTCTCTGCTGTAAAACTGAGGTTTCAATAACTTATTCGCTGAATCCGAGATGTGCGTGGAAGTTATTTCGTAAGTATAGTTTATTGTTCATTGTTTTTCTTTTCGTTTTCTAAGAACAAGCTGTAACCGAACCATTGAAATCCTTCCCCCCCTCTTTTTATTTCAGTAGTTTACGTATAAAGTAGAATTGTAAGAATTACTAAGAAACAGGAAGACACAGTCAGAACAAACAGATAGTCCGAACTTGCGCGGACAAAGACATCTGTTAGTTCTTGCTTCCAAGCATCTGGGGTTGTTTCGAAAAGGGCAGAAATAATACTTCATGGAACCCCCACTGAGTTTCTTTAGAAATTTAGAAGTTGACTTACGGCGGCGAGCCACTTTGAAATTTCGAGACGTGACATTCGCCACCCGTCATAAGTCAACAGTGGGAGGGCCAGGGTTTCATTAGCGACCCTCCTAAGTTATATCTCTGTCACTTTCGCTGTTTGGGATTTTAGGCCGAAACTGCTTCTAAAACAATCGGTCATTGGCCGGAACCAAAATTAAGCCAACTCCTCTTATTTGAATCCACCTATCCGGGAATTTAGGAGGAGAAGAGAGGAGGCGGATACAATTAAGTTAGGACCTCTGGCTCGGCAGAGAGTCCAGTTTAAGATTAAAGAGTCCGCTAAAAAACTTTCGAACGTGGCGGAGGTAAACCCCGCGAATATACTTGCGCGTTAAACTAAATAATTTGAGCAAGTACAGCACCGGCGGCTTGGAAGCCGAGACTAGGCCTTATAGTGTAGATTTTTGACTCCGAGTGACTGTGTAAAACAATAAAGTGTTCCAGTGCAAAGTGCATTGTGTTGGTCAGAAGTGCTTCACCCTCCTTGTCCGAGCCTGACCCTTAGACGACCTGAGGAGAGAACTCATCGCCAGGAGCTAGCCAAACCCATCGCCAGCTTCCATCCCACTCACACCTTCCCTCCTTTAAAATGAATCACAAAGAGCACCTAGCTGTTTGCTGGCGCCCATAATATCAGGTTCTATGTTGAAATTCCAAACCCGTAATCAGCAACGGAAGGAGGAAGCGGTGGAGCCGGAAGAAGCGGTGGAGCCTGGTCAAGCCGGAACCAGCCACGACCTAACAACTTCAACGGAGGCAGCACCAGGTAGGGCAGTCTAAGTGACAAGTGGCAACCACATTGTGGGCAAGAAGCCTAAAGAGAGGGTGGACGGTTAGAAAGCTTAGGTCGTCGTACTCGCGGAGCGGAAGCAATGCGTCGAGTAATTTAAAATCAAACTAGGGAAGGACGGGCAGACTGAGCCACAGCAAGACGTGGCCGGGCACAGCTAGTATAGAATATAGGAGCATAGGAAAAACAAAGACTCACGCATGGACTGAAATTTCTTTCATGTAAACTGTACCTGTAATCATTGGATGGAGTACCCGTACATTCAATTAATTTTTGAGATAATTTTGACGTCAACATTTGCCCTGATCTGCTGAACAAATACAGTTATTTGCTCAATTTCAAACCTGTATCGTCGGCTATCAAACAATATGAAAGGCTGTTCAGTGAGGCTAGGGATGTAGTGGGACGTGGATGTTTCACACCGCGTCAAGCAACAAGTTGGGAGCTGCATCAAACGAGCGTGATGAACATTCTTAGAAGTGCACCAATACAAATTTGTGTCCGAATTTCACTAATTAACATCAAATATCACTAAAATATACACCTTCATAGTTATTGTGTAGATTCCAGAAATATCAAAAATTAATCAGTGATAAAGAAGACAAAATTATAAGCGAGAATCTGAATGCATTCAGTACAGCAAAAAAAAAACAGAGCACAAGGAAAGGAAGGGTAAGACAATACAACAACGAGGAAGATTTCTCACTTAAATGTAATCCACGGAATATGTGAACACACCACTCACCTGTATATTTTGAACACACATTTTTGGTGTATTATAAGTGTTCGTTTTAGGCTTAATTTGAGTGTAATCGGGGATAGGATAGGTCAAAATAGTACGACGCCTTGGAAACAGTCTATGTCTCAAGGCCATGCTGGAGCCTGGTTTCGAAGATGAACTGTTGGTATGTTCTGGCGGTTCAAACCTCGCCCTGCTGTCAATTGTGGCAATTCCTGCAACATAGAGAGGCAACTATCAGTAATGACGTACTTTTTCATTGCTCCGTGTAATGAAGGCCAGGAGAAAGGCTGAATTCTGCAATTATGTCAATGATTTGTAATCACATCTCCAAAATTCTTCTTGTGTTATCTTATTCTCTTTTGATTCATGGCGTCCTATAAAATATGTTATTAATATTTTCACGTGCATGGTTGACTACAGACGCTGCATGAATGGGTGTGTGGGAACATCCCAAATACTTACACGTTTTTTCGCCGGTCTAACAGACAACACTCACTCCTAGATCAATATCACATTGCCGCACATATTTATTCAGCACTCGATGTCCAACCCACCTCTATTCAAAAGTGAGCGATTGAGCGCTAACATTAAATTGACCCTCCATAAAGCTCTTATTAGATCCATAATGACTTATGCTAGTCCCGCCTGGGAGAGTGTGGTAGACACCCATCTAGTTAAATTGCAGCGCTTGCAAAACAAATTTCTCCGGATCATTGGCGATTTTCGAAGGCGCAAGCCGGTCCGCGAATTGTACATGACATTCAAAATTCCATACGTATATGATTACATAACAAAATTATGCAGGCAACAAGCAGAAGTCATACGAAATCATGATAATGAGAATGATCAACAGGGAGTAAGATTGGACGCTATGTGTAAACCCGGCCTAACCGGGTGACTGTTCTGCTCCTAGTGTACAAGTATATTTGTCATTCAGCTGGGTTGTGTGGGTCGTGTGAGTTAAAGATAAAGTGTTCACTTCCTCGTGCGTTAGCAATAGTTAGGATAGTGCACAGAAACTATACAATGGGTGGTGTGGCTAGTGCATCGGAGGTGGGGTCTTCCCGTCTGCAACGGACAATCAAGCAGGCGAAATGACGGAGCCGACCTTGTTTGAAAAGCGATTGAAAGCAATCGTGGCTTCCTTTGAGAAGAACCACGAAACTTAACAACTAATAATTCTGAGTGCCAGGAAGAAATTGAATTACTGGGCATCGGCTTGCGAACAATAGGACTACTTATCCATACATCGCCCTATATAAATGGAAAGGACACCAATTAATAGCTAAATCCGAGGCCGATAAGACAATGCTCTGTAAGCACCTCGACGGCAAGGCTGTTTTTACATCCATGCTGCGCCCCTATGTTGCCATACACAGGCAAATGCGAGAGTCGCTCCGTCTGGAACAAAAAGAAGAATCAGCTGAGGAATTTCGCGAGCAAAGAAGGTGCAAGCGAAACCCTTCAGAAGAGCAGAAGAAAAAGTCAAAGCCGACACCTGGTCCGAGGGACATTACAATAAAATCCCAGGGTGAAGTACAAATGAAAAAAATCTTTGAGCCCCTGAGGACATCAGGAATGGACGTGGAGGAGACAACGAACAAGCCGGGAGAACAGTAGCTATCGGACAAGTGGGGTAGGCCGCCTCGCACTGTACTAACCTCTACGACTAAGCTTATGCAGTTGCAGAGTAAGGTCAAAGATCTAGTCATGAGTAATTTTGAGTTCCGCAACACCAGGAGCGGGACAAGAATTGTCGCGAAAGAAATGGCGGACTTCTCAGCCATTAAAAAATTCCTAGAGAGTAATAATCTCTCATAATTTACCTACTATCCCAAGTCTGAGAAACAGAATCAAAGCTGTTATCCGTCACCTTCCACAAAATACTACAGCTGAAGGTATCTCTGTCTGGTGAGTCTGGGGTTTGACGCCATTAGCATCAAACAAATGACAACAAGTCGTCGGACTCCTCCAGAAGGAACAAATATCATTAACCTTCCCTTGTTACTTGTCACACTACCTAGAACAGATGAGTCCCAAGAAGTCTTCCGACTCACCAACCTCTGCCACATTGCCATCAAGTTAGAGGCATATAAAGGCAAAGCGGGCTCACGCAGTTCTACAATTGACAGCAGTTCGGCCACGTTTGGGCTTAAATTTAGAGGTAATTCTATTTTTGCAGGTGATATGAAAGTTAAGCACCCATTTTGGAACAGCAGAATTTCAAACCCCTCAGGCGAGAAACTCATGGATTTGTTTGATATGAGTGAATTTGAAATTTCAGAACAGCAGTGCCCCACTCACTTTTCCCCTGCGAGAAACGGTAACGTGCTGGACATTGTGGTTCTCCAAAATCATAGAGCGTCATGTCATCCTCTAATATTTTGGATACAGATTATCTACCAATAGTATTCCACATGCTGGATCACGTTAAGATAAGGAATCTTTCGAAACCTATTGAGAAATTTACAGAATGGGAGTGGTTTGAAAGCCTCGCCTTTGAGATAATATCACCCAAACTAGATATTAAGTCAGGTGCAGAGCCAATAAAACGGCACGCGAATTTGCAGCCTCTATTGCTTCGGCATATAGGTTGTCGACAAGTAAAGTTACACTTTCGGACATAAACAACGATTTACCTGGTCTGGATCATTTGATAAAATATACGCAGAGGCTACGAAAATTGTGGCAAGAAACGAGGTATGCAGCGTGTGAAATGCCAGCAAATTTGGTCACCAAATGAATCAGACGAATGACCCGTAAAAAGGCACCTGGACGGTGGGAAACAGAAAAAGGTAACGCTGAAATCACACCTCAGGTTATATAGCCCATTGCAAAATCTCTCCTTAAGAGAGACGGACCAAAGGCACCAACTGCTATTCATGGTTCTTCTGGCCTAAAATTTCACCCTTCTGAAAAAGCAAACGAAATTGCCAACTGTTTGGAAATTCAGTTCACGTCACATGACCTGTGCGACGGAAACAGCGGGTGGAGGCCAGAGTTCAAACTCTGCTGGAAGCCGTGGATGAAAACCCCCTTCTAAGGATCAGACCATGTGACGTTCAGAAATTAATAAAATCCCTGAAATTAAAAAAGGCCTGTGGAATTGACGGCATCCCAAATGAATGCCTCAGGCACCTTCCAAGGCGACCATTGGTTTACCTAACTCACTTATTCAATCACTGTTTTCGGCTCTCTCACTTTCCAAATACTTGGAAGGAAGCAAAAATAATAACTTTACCTAAACCGGGTAAAGACCCGAAATTTCCTCAAAATTTACGTCCGATCAGCCTCCTGTCCACGACAAGAAAACTATTCGAGAAAGTAATTTTGAAATTCCTCCAAGAACATATTGAAGAAATAGGCCTGCTCAACGCAAGCCAGTTTGGTTTTCGTGCACTTCACAGCTCGACATTGCATTGTACGATTATAAGGCTGTCGGACCACGTGACCCTTAATTTCAACAAAAATTGTTTACGGCTGCGGAATTCTTGGATATCGAAAAAGTCTTGGATACCACGTGGCACTTAGGTTTTCCTGTATAAGTTATCAAAATTGGAATTCTCGAACAGGTTGACCAAACTTATTGGGTCCTTTCTTTCTAAACGTAAATTCAGGGCATCGGTTGAAGGCGAAATGTCAACGCCAAGTGAATGCAAGCAGGGGTGCCGCAAGGTTCTGTTCTTTCCCCTACACTTTTTACTTTGTATGTAAATGATGTCCCAAATCTCATGGTGTCCACCTGGTCCTCTTTGCGGACTGCAGATCGCAAGGAGGGTATTAGTGTTAGAAATCTTCAGCTTGGTCTCAGCTCAATGGAGACCTGATGTGAACATTGGAATATAAAAATTAATGAAGATAAGACTCAGGGGGTCTACTTCTCTCGTGGTCGTCGACCGCCCGAGTTTTGTTTTACTCTAAATGGAAAAAAAACATTCCATTTGTAAATAGTGCAAAATATTTAGTTCTAATCTTCGATAAGATAGTGATATGGAGATTAAACATAGAGACGATCGAAGCCAAAGACTTCAGAACATTCATTATAGTGTATTCCCTATTCAAAAGTGAGCGATTGAGCGCTAACATTAAACTGACCCTCCACAAATTTCTTATTATATCCGTAATGACTATATGCTAGTCCCGCCTAGGAGTTTGCTGCAGACACCCATCTAGTGAAATTTCAGTGCCTGCAAAACAAGGTTCTCCCCACGATTGGCAATTTTCCAATGCGCACACCGGTCCCCGATTTGCACATGGCATTCAAAATCCCGTACCCATATGTCTATATAACAAAATTATTCAGGCAGTGAGCAGAAATCATACAAAATCATGATAATGAGAATGTTGGCAACATCGGACAAGGCGATGCCCGCCACAGAAAGTATGAGAGGCTTAAACTTGGCGGCGGTCAAGCATACGACCTTCAAGTGACTAGACTGCCGTGGTAGCGAACAACACTAGAAATAGGGCAAAATCTGCTGTACTGAGCCTGGACTAACAGAGGCCTTGTATATAATGTACCTAGAAATAAGAATAAGTGTGTATTTGTAAATGTATGTAAATACAGATAGTGGACTTATTAATACAGACTGACTTAGAAATGACAGGCCCGACATCTCTTCTGAGAAGGCGACCCATATAGACAAGACAGTAACTTCATTCAAAAGAAATATCCGATCATGAGCACCAGCTGGGGCTCGACACCAAGACAGACAGACTGACTGACCGTGAGTTGCAACATGACTTCGAATTTAACTGGCAAAAGTCAGTGATCACATTCTGTTGAGAACGATCAGTCATCAGAATCATCAGCTCTTCACTGCGACCAGGAAACTGACGTGGTTGCCGCAAGTCTCCAGCGACCACGCTCTGCGACCAGGCAACTATCGCAGCTGCAGCAACTCGAGCAACCACACCGTAGGCACCTATTTCTACCGGCGCATGCAGCACTACTTCACGGTCCAGCCAGGCTAGCTGAACGGCCGTAAGACTTGGCCTACTACATAGGAGCAAATTCTGCCAGCGCACTCGCTATGCAACTGACTGCCCTTTTGAGGCCCAGCCAAATTTGAATATTTCACATAGCTTCGCAGCTATTCTGTACATTCAATTTATAGAATTTAATATATACATTTGTTATAGTTCTACGTGGTTGTCATTTAGAACATCGACAATCCCACAGTTGAAAATTTTGATGACAACATGTCACGAAATTCTAAGCAATTAAAATGATATAGCTAATGTGATACTCTTTACAACTCATTATATGCTTCGTTTCTACTGCCTATAATATGATCGCTAGACGTTGCTTGGCAACAGATATAAACAACGGTAATTCTTCAGCTTATGTGCTCACGTCAATTCTGTCCGGTGAATATCCTTCAACTGAAATGTAAATTTAAATACGGCACCAACATTCCTCAGCATCCCTAACAGAGCTCAACTGACACATTACCCAATCTCACTCTTTATAATTTCTCGACAAATTGCAAATAGAACATGCAGCTCTGTTGCTTGCGTATTCGATGCAGCGGGAAATGTCTGGCGAGCTCTTCCTAAGAACGACCATTGTCATTCAGCCATTCTAGCAGAAGTTGCATAGCAAAGGTTATACATGATGTAATTATAATTCGACTTATGTTGTGAAAAATCAATAAGCTATTTTCGTTCCGTCAGTTACTAAATGTAATTTAGGTACAACGAGACAATACATCAGCTATTCATAGATAATTAGATAGCCCACGATTCAGTTGGTACATTAATTTGCGCAACATTCTCACAGAATTTTGAGAACCCAGTGAAAATAGTTATGCTTACACGAAAGTGTTTAATGAAACATACTGGATTTTGCGTAAAGGTGCAAATTTTCCGATTCGTTTTCCTATATAAATGGACTAAAACACTGGAGATGCATTATTTCCATTTATACGTATTCTAACGAGAAATCTAATAGAACGACAAAGTTACGTGTCAGAGAACCGCGAGAAAATGCAACTCATTACTGTTCACAGTGATGTTCAGAAGAAATGAAATTACACACCTTTAGTCTCCCTGTCATTGTATTCTTCCAAGTATGCCCTCTGCTCTTTGATTGAGTCCACAGGTGCCGAATTACCATCCTCTGTTGTCCGTTCCGATTTCTGGATGAAAAACACACATACCCATATTGACCACATCTTGATGGACAGTTTGGGGCACATAAGTGTCCTTAAATAACAAATTCAAAGAACGGAGGCTGTGATATCATCTATTACTCGTGGCTTCCAAACGAAAGAAAAAATGTTGGCACGGGGAAATTCAGGGCCTGAAAATATTTTGCAGGGAGTGCTGTATCCTCGACATTTTTGACAACATTCTTTGTGCCGATGGCCAACCGAGGACTGAGTTACATGATTGAAATATTTCAGAGCTCTTCGTGTGGAACAAGAAAAAATTCAACATGAACCAAATGAATCATATCTTCCAGCCGATAACGGGAGAGTAACTAGCTTACATACACGTATGTACCATGATATAAGTCAACACACCACCCAGCTGGAGGTGATGGCTGTCTTTCTTCGGTGTATTATATGTGTTCGTTTTGGATTTAAGTTTAATGTAATCGGATATTGGGTAGCTTAATATAAGACGAACCTTTGGAAATTGGTTTTGCCGCGAGATCTTAGATACTGGCTTCAAATAACTGTTACAACACATTTTTCAGTAACCTACATTAAGATGTATTTACTTAAAATACAACCCAGAATTTTTCGCATTAGTTACATTGTGTTGATGACAATAAATAATACACTAATGCAGGATTAGAGGCATCCCATTCAAACTATCATACCTTTGACTTGATCAATATAGGTATCTTGGAAGGCTTCGCCCCCTTCCAATCCCTCTTGGGCCTTCCTTGCTGCTCCTGCCCTCGGTTTTGTCCTTCCGAGACCTAGAGATAAAAATCACGGCGCTCGAATGTATAAAACACGGATGAAAAAATCATAAGGTGTGGTTCTGCTAAGAGATTTTCCTCGATAATTTCCTCTTTTAATAAATCATATTCAGCAGTCCCGGCAAAAGCCAAATGCACGTAACACATAAATGACCTCATTTCATGATTCCTGATGTGGCTCTTACCCGCATCTAGTTGTCGGAAATTCAGTAACTACAGTTAATCTTTAAGATAAAATGGTGAGCCGTAACTTGCCCAGAACGAGGTTCCACACACAATGTTTGTTCAAAATCAGTTCTGCTTCAACAGCGTGCCATTAGTTACATTGTGTTGATGACAATATGAAATACACTAATACAGGATTAGAGAGGCGTCCAATTACAACTATCGTACCTTTGATTTGATCAATACAGGTATCTTGGAAGGCTTCGACCCCTTCCAATTCCTCATGGGTGTCGCTTGCTGCTCCTGCCTGCGGTCTTGTCCTTCCGAGACCTAGAGAGAAAAAAAAACACAGCACTCGAATGGAAAAATCATAATATGGGGTTCTGCTAAGAGATTTTTCTCAATAATTTCCCCTTTTAATAGTTAATATTAACCGTCCCGGCAAAAGCCAAATGCACGTAACATATAAATGGCCTCATTTCATGTATCTTGATTTGAGCTCTTACACGCATCCAGTTGTGGGGGATTCTGTAGCTACAGTTCATTTTTAAGTTAAAGTATGTAGCCGTAATTTGCCGAGAACGAAGTTCCAAACACACTGTTTGCCCAAAATCAGCTCTGCCTCCACGACTTGCCGAAAATATGCTTTGCTCGCTACTGAAATTCTGCAAATTCTGTGAAGACACGTCACACCGCAGATACTGTTACTTCTTGGAGGCTGCGCCAACCCGTGTGTGGTGTATATTGATGGCAGCATAACTACCGAAATGTTTTTCGAATTTCATGTATTTGCACAATACGAGTATATCTCTTGTATATCCACCTGCGTAATATATGTGTACTGCTTCCAGACTTTCAAAAATGAATCATTTTGGCAAGGAAGCTGATGGTAAACGTGCAGTAGCTGTGTGCAGTAAAGTGGGAGGCCATCGAATATCCCACGAAAAACGAGATGTTTACCTTGGAGTCAGCCTCAAATACGCCACGTAAGTGTGGGGCAGAATGGAAAGTACAAAACTGGGTGGTTACGTTAAATCATAAAGACATTCTGCTGGAAGGCCACCAAATAATCCATTCTATATATTTCAGTTACATTCTTTTTTTAATTATTTAATTATTCAGAACTCAGAATATACATCCTGTAAGCTAATGTTATGGTTTGTAAGTTTTGAGGTTTTCACGGCGATGACAATGAAGAAAGTTGTCTTCTGGGTTTAGGAACCGCGTATTCTTCGTTTTGGCCGACGTTTCGGAGGAACGTAGATGGAGGCGCTACGTTCCTCCGAAACGTCGGCCAAAACGAAGAATACACGGTGCCTAAACCCAGAAGACAACTTTCTTTAATGTTATGGTTGTTTAGATGATGTGATGAGAAGGAATCCAACAGCGAATCCTCAGTATTTCAAATCAGATTAATTGGCCAGTTTCGTTTGAGTCGTCTGCTTTCTTCTCTTGTCGATAGCTTATTAAGGAGTGGGTTTTTATGAGGTATGATTTTCTTGTGATGTCTGGTGCTTTTTTGTTGGATGACGCATTGAACGGAAGACATACCATGATCGGTGTGGAGTATTGCGTTCGAGGCACATATGCTGCGTCGACATTCATTCGTAGTATCTTAGATTCACTTCTTTGGATTATTGCTATGGTAGATTTTCGATTTATGGTTAAAATATGCAAACCTCGAAGCGAAAATGAAATGAGAGTTCAACTGAACATTCATCTTCTCTCCAAGAAGCAATTCATTCCGCAAATATATGATATCCTTTTTCACAGATGTATCACTATTATAATACTATGGCGTATTGGTTCTGTGCAGGAACTCTAAAGCTACATAGGCCTCGAGGCAACCGCGCAACGTGATAGTTGCTGGTTGTATCGGAGCGTCGCTAGGCGATAAGTCTGTGAACTCGTGGATTGCGCAAAACGGAGTGCGAGTGACGTCACATATCCCCACTCATCCAGTCACTACGCAATGCTCAGTAAATAACCCACCCCTTAAAATGTGACGTCACTCAACAGTAGGGCGTCTATTGCTAGGCAATGCGTGGGTAGATACACCTGAAAACATTCAGCCATTGTTCCTCTCCGTGTGGTGGCCTGGTCGAATTCTTCCACAGTGACTGTGCGAGTCGTAGGAGGTGACGAAACGGGAAGTCTCAAATCTGAGAGAGTAAAATATTGTCGCGAGTCTCAAGGGACTGGGACCCAAGAAAGGCCGCGCTGCTAAGGCCCGGCTGCATGTCCAAAGGGACCCGTCGTTTCGTCAAAGAGGGCGTCCCATAAAAATAAGGCCGTAACTGTCAAACGGGAAAAATTAATATCTGGTCATGAGCCCCAGATGAGGCTCGACACCAAGACTTACTGACTGACTGACAGACTGACTGAAGGTCGTTCGCAATGCGACTTTGACTTTGACTTCAGCCAGTATTCAGTATAAGATTGAGTTACACGTAGTTGGGAGTGGCTGAAGAAAGCGAAGCGTATCAGGGAATACAGAAGGTTGCCTGTGAGAATGTGAAGGGTGATTTAGAAGATTTTTATGTGTGCGACGGTGGAGTGATACTGGAATTGTAATTGGAAGTTCTCATGTGCAATATCTGGACTGATTTGATTGACTGATGTTGACACAGGGAATGCGCTCAGTAAAGCAGAAAAGCAGGCCACAGGGAAAGGAAGGGTAAGACGATATAACAACGAGGAAGATTTCTCACTTAAATGTAAACCACGGAATATGTGAATGCACCACTCACCTGGATGTTTTGAACACACGTTTTCGGTATATTAAAAGTGTTCGTTTTATGCTTCACTTGAGTGTAATCGGGGATGGGATAGGTCAAAATAGTACGACCCTTCGGAAACTGTTTATGTCTCAAGGCCATGCTGGATCCTGGTTTCAAAGTTGAACTGTTGGTATTTTCTGGCGGTTCAAACCTCGCCCGGCTGTCAATTGTGGCAATTCCTGTAACAGAGCGAGGCTACTGTTAGTAATTACATACATTTTCAATGTTGCCTGTAACGAATGCCATGGGAATGACTGGGCTCTGCAATTCGGTCATTGATTTTGAATCTCATGTCCAAAATGATGTAGATTTAGCGGCATTACTGACTCTCTGGAATGATTCTGTTACAAATCAATTTTCTGTTTCTGTCCAAAGTATATATCAAAATAACCCCGTCATAACTATATTCACGTGGAACAAAGGAATCACTTCCTTAGTGGTAATGAGTCATAAAAGTTAGGAGAAAGTATTTTTATACAAAAATGTATTCACCAATTCTTTTGCTTCCTTCGTCTCTACGTTGTCTTACTCGCTTTTAATTCATGTTGTCCTATAATAATTTCTTCGTTTGTTTCTTTTGCTTATTTCTTTGCACGATTGTTATCATTAATATTGTCACGTGCAGGGGAGACTACAGACACGGTATGGATTTGTGAATATTTTAATGACAACACGACCAGACGCTACAAGTACTTATAACGACATCGCCGATTTTACTTAGTTTACAAACTAATACATCCTGAGTTTTCTACTGCTTGAAGTATCATCACAGTCTTTCCTTGGCAACAGCTCTCAACAGTGGAGAATATTCGCCTAATGTGCTCACGTCATTACTGTCCGGTCAATATTTCTCACTAAAATATTAACTTAAATACAGTACCATCTGTCCCCAGACCCCATAGCAGAGCTCAGTTGAATGCTGAGTTTATTTTTGGACTTATATGGTGAAAAAGGAAGAAGGTATTTCGCTTTCGTCTCTTACTAAATGTAATTTGGATACAAGGAGATAATACATCAGCTATTCAGCGACAAACAGCCCACGATTCATTTGGTTCATAAATTTACGCAACTTTCTCACAGAAATTTGAGTACCCGGGAAAATAGTTATGCCGACACCAAAGTGTTTAATGAAATATAGTGGAAGTTGAGTAAAGGTGGAAATATTCCGATACGTTTTCCTATATAAATGGACTAAGCATTGGAGTTGTTTTATCTCCATCTATTTTTTAATTTGATTCTTTATAATCCGTTACGTATTTGCAGGAATACAAAGTGGAACTGAAATTAAATGGGACGCATTTGTTGCTAGTTTAACCTGAAAATATAAATATGTTTGCAGATAAGTTCGCTGCCACAAATAAAAACAAAATAATCATATCAGACGCTAGGAAGGAAGTAGGGAAGTAGGAAAATATAGTAACGGTTTGAGATATGTGGATAGAGCCGTATATAGGGATTTTGTTCGTGGGATATTGACGTTTTAAAAATGACGCAAAGCAAAGTGGATATTAAGGACGCCCCATAGCTCAAGCCGTTAGTCGTTGGGGTCCCACCGAGTTGGCCCACGTTTTATCCCGCGTCTGGTAAAGTTGGATTTGTGGTGAGCAAAGTAGCGCTGGGGCAGGTTTTCTCCAAGTACTTCGGTTTACCCTGCCAATCTTCATTCCACCAATTGCTCCACAATCACTAGAGACTTAGTCCCACCCCACTAGCAATAAAAGAACCGTCATAATTCTATCCACGTGTGACGAGTGAAATATTTCGTTTGTGTTAAGGAGGAATAATATTTTGGAAAATAAACCTGAGAACAATTTGTTTAACCATTCCGTTTTCTTCCTTTTGTCTCTACCTTATGTACTCTCCTTGATTCATGGAGTCCTATATAACTTTCCATTTGTCTTTTTTCTTTCTATTTGTACTTTTGCTATCATTAATATTGTCAGTTGCAGGGATGACTATAGAATGAGAATTCGATTCTGAACTACAAACATTTTGACTGTTTAGAAAAGGTAGGCTCTTACAATTGTCCTATTTCACCCGTTCATCTTTATTAGTCAAGTTTTTTTATATGTGTAAAGCAAAGCGGGACTTCTGAAATAACATTGCTCCCTCCGATATTTCCTTCATAACGTGCAGGAATAGTGGAGCCAGAAAAATCGCCCTTTCTAGGCAACGGGAAGGATAACACATCTCAAGGTGTTTCCAATGCTATTTGTGAAGATTAAAATATTCAAAATGTAGTGAAAGAAAATTGGGGGCCAATTCTCCCCTGAAATATTTGTATTTATTTCTTTTACTTAAAAATGGAATTGACTACTCTACCATTAGAATTGATAGAAAAGAATAGCAATATGTAGGCATAAATATTACCTCCACTTTCACATAAGGAGACTGTAGTAAAAGAACTGTCTTCTTCATTCCTTGTTTGTAATTCGTCTTGAGATGGAACCTGGTAAAAATTACATACCGTGTATTAATAATCAGACACAGATTCGAGAACACGACTTTATCTGGCATGCATGGTGAACAGTGTTCGCCGTTTGCTGAAAGAACAGGAAATCAATATAGAGAAGAACAATGCTTTCTCCTCAAATCTTGCAACAGAATGTTCCTAAGAGGAATCGCGGATTAAGGGAAGAAAAATTTGGATCACATAAACAGTGTACGGACGATGGAGGTTATGAGGATAGCAAATTGTTTTTGAAGAAGAAACGAATTCCTTTTGCTAGCACTGTACGGCTGAGATAGTCTGACAATGCCTTGTTGACTTATAATGAAGTGCAATAATAGAATATTCATGTTGAAAATCTTATATCTCTTTATAAGACGTCTTCAATAATTTCGAGATTTTTCTCCTAACATGGTTCCAACTATCTTCGTTTGGCTTTCAGACGAAATACCTCAGAACATTACTTCATTTTTCATTAGAGAGTAAAATCGGACAGAATTAATTGACTTGCGACTGTCATACTATAAGCGTCCTTCCTCGCCTCACTGAAAGAAAACTCAACAGATTTACTCGCGAGTGAAATAATTGGGCCTTTCCATCATCAGGACATTGTGCGTCATGAATTCGCTACTGATGATCAAATAATTAATCAGGAAGCGTGTCTGAATGTTGTGATAAATGTGCTAGGTGTGTTGTGAACGAAAGGATATGAAATGTGATCATTTTTAATGTTAGTAGGAAAACCTCACCTTTTCGATGGCATCATTCTCTGCAACAACTTCATTTGCTTTCAGTGTCAGGACACATAACTTCTGCTCAAAGGAAGTCTTGATTTCCTCCTTTTCCAGCATATCATCATCCTTCTCCTCTCCCTCCAAGGCATTCTTGATTTCCTCCTTTTCCAGCATATCATCATCCTTCTCCTCTCCCTCCAAGGCATTCTTGATTTCCTCCTTTTCCAGCATATCATCATCCTTCTCCTCTCCTGTCAAGGAATCCTTGATTTCCTCCTTTTCCAGCATATCATCATCCTTCTCCTCTCCTGTCAAGGAATCCTTGATTTCCTCCTTTTCCAGCATATCATCATCCTTCTCCTCTCCTGTCAAGGAATCCTTGATTTCCTCCTTTTCCAGCATATCATCATCCTTCTCCTCTCCTGTCAAGGAATCCTTGATTTCCTCCTTTTCCAGCATATCATCATCCTTCTCCTCTCCTGTCAAGGAATCCTTGATTTCCTCCTTTTCCAGCATATCATCATCCTTCTCCTCTCCTGTCAAGGAATCCTTGATTTCCTCCTTTTCCAGCATATCATCATCCTTCTCCTCTCCTGTCAAGGAATCCTTGATTTCCTCCTTTTCCAGCATATCATCATCCTTCTCCTCTCCTGTCAAGGAATCCTTGATTTCCTCCTTTTCCAGCATATCATCATCCTTCTCCTCTCCTGTCAAGGAATCCTTGATTTCCTCCTTTTCCAGCATATCATCATCTTTCTCCTCTCCCGAGGAATATTGTTCATCCTTACACTCGTATTCCATTACGCACTTGTGATCCTCCACGAGATCATTCTCTGAAATAGGAATTCTATCCTCTGCTATGCTGAGCTGTGTACTGAAAGAAGAAAACATACAATTTACCAATTCTGCATGAGGAATGACCTCCCATGTAATAAGAAGAGAGCTCCGGGAAATTCGCAAATTCCATTTGACTGTAGTCTTGCAATATACTCTTCATAGAGAGAGAGAGTTCTATGGAGATTAGATAGCGAACTCACTATAGAGACTGGCTTCGGGCTGGAAGCCCGATAATGTTTGTACCTTATGATAAAGGTGCAAACATAGAGCATACTTTACAAATTCCTGAATAGTTCTCATGAAAATCAATCATTTTCTTAAAGCATTTCATTGTGTATTGGGTTCCAGGTAACTGGAACACATAGGGACTAAAAGACTAATCTAAATGTACGAAGTTCCACACAAAGGTTTGCAAAGCATTGATTAGGACAAATGCTGACTCTAAATGAGCTAAATCAACTGAGGACAATCACAGAAAAATATTTACTGTATATTCCGGCAAGAAAGGTGGTCGTCGTCAGGAAAAAAATTTCCTAGAATCCTGGTTACTTAGCCATTCACGCCTGGTCGTGGCATACTCTACACTTTCCGACACTTTTGTTTCGCTGCTATCTGTTCAACGATTGTTTCACACAATCATCATTTTCATTATCACATTGAAGACTATCGTCGATGCACTAAAGTAATTCATAATTTCACACGTGGTGCATCTCAAATATGACGTCATCCCTAATTCTGAGTACTTAATTCAGAGCCAACTATGCACATCTCAATGGTCTTGTTACTTATTTTTCGCCCACTTTGGCAGAAAGCTGTACTCTCCTTCCAGCTGTCTGACTTCTTGAATTTTATTCAAAACCTGCCTTTGCATTGGGAAAAATCATCTGTTACTTTGTAACCGTTATAACCAACTGTTAGATTACCACTCTGATTTTTCCTTCCAACATTGCGCCACAGGCACATGCCACTTATCCAGTTACGTTCTACGAGTATAAACACTGACTCAGGGCCTCTTCAACGTCTGAATCCGTAATTTTATCCTGTTACTTTTGGGAAGTTCCCTCTTCTCCGTGTCGTGATGCTCATTCGTTTCGCAGATTCTCTCGCAAATGTAAAACTCGCGCAATCTTAAATTTCGACGCTCCAGAAATTTCCGTTTTCTCGCGACTTTGTGTTACGTGGATGCTTCTTAAATTTGAAGTAAGTCAATTTTTGTCTGTGGATGTTACATCTGTCCTAAATATTTCTTCAGGGATCTCAAATTTCAAATGTAAATATCGGTCACACCACACAGTAGACTCACAAACACAGCCGTTGCAAGACTGAGTGCAAGTGTATCTGGGTGATCCAGTGACTCACTGATACAAGCCTGAGAGCAATTGTATCTAGGTGTACATTTATAGAGGCTGAGTCAGTGACTCACTGATACAAGACTGAGAGCAACTCTATCTAGGTGTACATTTATACAGGATGAGTCAGTGACTCACTGATACAAGACTGAGAGCAAGTCTATCTAGGTGTTTATATATACAGGCTGACTCAGTGATACACTGATGACATATTAAATACAAGTGGGCCATGTGACAGTTATTAGACCAATTAAACGGCTTTGTGTTCTAAATAAGCAAAGAGGATTCAGGTTGTAATCTCAATTTCCCTTTGTTCTCTAAATTTAACCTCAAATAAATTGCTGCCCCAATTAATCGGCGATCTTATTAACGGCAATTCATTGTACTCAGACCATGAATAATCAGACAGAAGTCAGTAAACTTCACTAACTCATTTGTGGCGAGAGGACAATCATATTTTTGGAGCCCTGAACCAAGCATAATTCATTATACGAGCGCTATTCCGAAAGTAATGTCCGTTTAGTTTAGGCAGCTAATGTAAGAATAGCCGCATGCAACTTAGCGTCATACGATTTTTGACTCTTATAGCATCACAAAACTTGTCACCTAATATTTGTTTTCGTCTTTTTAGTTATGAGGTGGCCCGTCAGTTACGAATTTCATGCTCCTGTCCACTTTCTTCAAGATAAAACAAACAGTATCTCTTGAAATCCATTGTGAATTTTATTGTGGTTTACAGCTAAATTGTAATGACTGATGGAACTGTAAGACAACGGCATAAAAAGGTTAAAGATTGGCAAGCTGAAGAGCCAAATGCGTTGCCGTCTGTAGTGAGTGATAGACATTTTCAAAGCACTGACCAAACAATATTGGAAGAGCAATGCATTATTTCCTTATATGGGAAGTGCGTTAATTCTGCCGGTGATGACATTGAGAAGTAATTTCAGTATTTACATAACAAGACTTTATTTTCTCAACACTAAATTTTTAACAGCTCCCAGAAAATTACTTTACAAGTAGCCCTCGTATGTAAAAAAACAAGTGAGGACCACTTGATGAGACCCAAAAGGACTTCCTAAGATGGAAATCATTATAAATCCAAAAGAATGTGGGAAACTTTCAGTCTTGCAATGGGTGCAAGTGGCTCTAATCTCATATGAGGAGCATGAGGTGACTGAACAGAAGGAGGTGGAGGAGGAGGAGAGAAAGATATTTCCAGAGGAATAACAAGTGGGAGAAGGGATCGAGGAAGCTGGAAAAAATACGGTGGGTAGCAAATAACACAGCTGCTCTCAGTGCCACAAGGGCAGAATCATTCTCCATATCCAGGACTTCATAACAAACAAGAAATGCACAACTTCAATAATTTTATATGTACGAATGCATGCTAATCTCATAATTTCGCGCCATAGTTCAAGCGGCTAGTAGCTGATTTCCCACCGAGGCGGCCCGGGTTCGATCCCGGGTCTGATCAAGTGAGACTTGTGGTGAACAAAGTGGCGCTGGAGCAGGTTTTCTCAGCGTACTTCGGTTTCCCCTGCCAATCTTCATTCCACCAATTGCTCCACAATCACCCTCACCTAACATCTGGTGCTCGTAAAATAAGCCAGAGTTGGCCGCAGTTCAAGGGACTTAGCCCCACCCCACTAGCAATAAAAAATCTCGTAATTTACTCATCCTACGAAAAGATCATTTCTAAAATAGAGCAAAGATGACATATTAAATTATTTACACAAAATATTTTAATCTTGTTTCAGTTAAAATTCGATTAAATTATTAATGCAGCTGTATGTCACAACTCACCTCTTTGTGTACTGATTTTGCATATTTACACTCGTCACAAGTGCTGTGGGGGCTGTATCTCCAAGTCTTGTAAACATCTGTAAAATAAATAATACTGTCAAAATAATATTTCTGATGCAATCTTGCTGGTTACGTCATCAAAGATTTCCAGGGAAAATAACGATATAAAATTCTGGAAGTCTACATTGAACGTCAAGAGGAATATGTAATTTAATGATATTTCCTGGCTGTCAGTCTTCTTGATAATGAAATCAATCGTTTAGATCACTGATATAAAAATCATTACTTTACAACGAGGAAAGGAAAACTGAGGATAAGTCACATGCACATAGGATAGAGATGCTCACAATTTGAAGTTCTAAGGAAGGGTGTACACAAAATACTTTATACTGTGACAGATTTGTCCGTTTCCAAGTGACGAATTCATCAATATATTCCAATCAAAGAGCATCTAACAATTGAAAGACGTCTGTTGCTAGATAACTAATCGGTAAACACATATCACAGCAACGAATGTGCAAAAATAGGGCGTTCGTTGCTACGCAATGCTCCAATTGCTGGTATGCTAGTAGTAATTCGTTACACGTTTTATTTGTAGACTAGCTATGCCCGGCCACGCCTTGCTGTGGCTCAGTCTGCCCGTTCTTCCTCAGTTTTCTTTGAAATTACTCGATGTATTGCTTCCGCTCCGCGAGTACGACGAGCTAAGTTTGATCTTCTGCGAGGCATTATTTGGATGTACTAAAGCAGAACGATTGCACCGAAGAAGAAGAAAGAAAGTTATAAGAAAAACATGAAATTGCAAAATATTAAAAAAGGAAAGAACACGAACTGGAAAACAATGAAGAAACAAAAAAAAATGTTGACGAAATATTTCAATTCAAACGCAGATCAATCGACACAGCCTAATCCCACCGCCAATTGCACCGCAAAATAAGGGAAACATTTAAGAAAACGAAATGAAAAACAACAAAAAATAAACTATACTCACGAAATGAACGCTACGGTAAACGACTAAGCCCAATTCCAAGGCAATGTAACTCGAAATAATAAAATCAAAACGAAAATTTTGTTGCCACAACAGCTCGTTGCCACGGTTATTCCTAGACAGCGATCCGCTGTTTCAGCAGTTTGTTGCCACGGTTATTCCTAGACAACGACCCGCTGTTTCAAAAGTTCGTTGCCACGGTTATTCCTAGGCAACGATTTGTTGGTATTCGATGGACGACGTATAGCACGTTACAGTACATTATATTGAATATAATTAATACTTTTACCTGTTTTTACCTGTCACGGGTGTGACATCTATATAATAGGTATATGAAAGCACGCACATGTTCGAATGCAACGTTGATCAAAATTTCAAAGCAACCGGTGAAGAACTCTGGGAGATCTTCGATAAGACACAAACCAACATTTACGTTTCTATTTATATAGATTTGTATCTGATGATGTCCATTAATTGATCAAAATATGTATTCATTTTAGAGATATGAATAACAATTAATTACTAATTTTAAATCTATAGATATTGTGTTGCCGGTCACGCTAGCCGAGCCGTCTAAGGCATTTACTGTCTTCGCTCACTTGGAAACCGGGATCGTGGGTTCGAATCCCACTCAGGGCATGGATGTTTAGTTTGTGTGCGGGCGTTTTTCTGTGTTTGTGTACAGGTAGAGACCTTGCGAAGAGCTGATCACCCGCCTAAGGAGTCCTACCGAATGTATAAGATCTAGAAGAACCAATGTGACCGGAGATGTTCATGGAGGTGGGCCTAGAGTCACTGGGGCTGTAGTGCCAAGGAAAAGAGAAAGATACTCTGTTAATATTTAATGAACTGTAAGACCTTCGCTTGCACTCAACCAGACAGAATACACACTGAAGGGATATTTACATATTGAGAGATAGACTGGTTAAGGTATAGGCCATAATGACCCGAAAATAGTCACCGTCTTCGTCCTGCTGTGTATCCCTGTTCCAGGTTTCGAGCCCAACCCGAAATACAGTGCATCAGGTGGAGCTAGATTCTTTGAGTCCTCACAGTATTGTGACATATTTACTTTCTGCAAGAACTGCTGAGCCACAGAAACAGCCAGTGTCAAGTATTACAGGCATGCAACAACACAACAACTTGATTTGTAAAACCGTTCGGTAAACACGCCGAGAATGACTGCGCTGGCGAAACCAGCAGCAACCATAAAGGACACACCCATTCTGCCGTCAGGGCCAGAGCCATACATTAACAAACCTGAAACGGCCTGACAGCTCTAAGAATCTGGTAGTAAGCCCCAGATGGGTGCTTTATTCCAAAACAGAGTGGCTGACTGACCATCTGTCCTAATATAAGACTCAGACTGTATCCTTTCCTGTGCTGGCAGCGTACTCGGCTGCACTTCTGTGTTCGTAGCTAAATACTCGTCGCCGCGGTTTGCGTGTTCCTTCTTAATGTAGAATTAGAAAAACTTCCGGTTCTTGAACAAGGAAGTGAAAAGTGAGTATCGTATCTATGATGGGGGATGTCTCTGTTCGTGGATACCAAACAATTTGGACGAATAAAATTTCAACATTGAAATTCGATACCAGATATTTGTGCAAAAATATCCAGATGCGGACGCACAGCTGAAAAGCTCTTCAAGTTACTGGGCAACATTGAGGACACAAGCAAACCTCGGTGAGGAAATGCAGAATGAGCTGCCTTACCAAACACGAGCAGCAGATAACTCGTCGTTCAATTTGAGCCCCAAATGTAAACTGTTTGCCTCTGGACAAAATATTGAAATAAGTACTAACGGTAGTATAGCAGTCTATGACAGAGTTTAAGTGTGCTATATTAGAGAAGACTGAAATAATGACCACCAGAAAAATTGCCTTAAATCTCATGGAGCAAAATGACCACAAAAATTATATGTTCCACTAAATCATACCATTTAATGCGAATGACATTGCGAAGCAGAGCTATGATCTAAGCAAACAGCTGCAATATTTACATGTAAAAGTAGCTCTATTCTCAGAGACATATTTGTAAATTCATGACAGGATCTTTTTTCCAAATTACCACTTTTATCAAAACAAGAGCGGTTCTTTTTTACAAATGCCTCCCATCGCTGCTAAATTAAATTACTTCTGCTCACCTTGATATAAATTGGCTTCTGTAGTGAAAGTTGAGTTTAATTACAGACTGACTGCTCCTTGTCGAAACTTGGGCTATTTATACCTCGGCGGTTGCTATACAATTCCCTCTGTTGTCTATCACCGGGGAAACGCTGCTTTGTTGATTCCGCTATTCCCACGCAACGACCCATCGTTATTGCGTTATCTCTGTGGGAACACTCCGTGTATTCGTCGTAACCGTGGAGATTCGATGTTCTCGACACCACGGCAAACTGTTGGGATTACAGTATCGATATTGTTACTTCCCAGGCAACGGCCAAATGTTGGGGCTACAATACCGCTATTGTCGCTACCTATGCACGGAAGTGACTCCTGGATTCCGAACACGTGACACGTTTTTACCTGTCACGGGTGTGACATCTACATAATAGGTATACAGAAACACGCGCGTATTCGAATGCAACGTTGTATCAAAATTTCAAAGCAATCGGTGAAGAATTTTCGGGGATTTAAGAATTTTATCAAACGAACATTTACACTTCTGTTTATATAGAAGATTACTGATTTTATCGAAACGGACTTCCACCCGATCAGAAAAGTGGGAACTTCCTTTGCCGTATGAATAAGCATTCTTCATAACCATGTACTTTTAACACCCCTTGTTTCAGTAGGTGTGACAGGGGCGTGCACACCATTTGGAAATGTTGAAATAGTAGTGTTTCATCAATATATATATCTTCGGGCAGTCCCTGAAATGTAGCATTAAGATCAGGCACTTAAACTTGACGGTGTTCAAGCTTACGACCTCTCAATTTACAAAAACTGCCGTTGTAGCATAATATATGTAAGACAGGCATGTTCTGCTTTGTCAATCCTGTACTGACTATGGGCTTGTATATAATGCGAAAGGTAGAATTTTCAGTAACATTCTACATGTGAGAAATAAACACTTGCCGAAAGACCAAGCATCTGTAGGAAACCAAACCCAATTTGTTCTCATAGAGGATGTAAGAAAATGACTATTACGGTAACACTTGAACAGTTACCCACAAATCTAAAATTTAAAAATTGAAATGGAATGAAACCTGGCACGAGGAACTGAAATACTCAGAAAAAGATACTCCAATGTCACTTGATCACCACAAATAACCCGCTAAATGACCTGGAATAAAACACAGGCCGACACTGCTGTGTTGGGAAGTGGTGATTAACTGCAAACACTATCACGTGAACCCAGCCAGGTTGTGCCTAAAACAGAGAAACTGACTGAATAATTCCACGGAGATGACGCCTTTCGAAAAGCCATCTTCTGCAACATTTTACATAACATGGAGGTTCATTGCCGCATTCACAAGGGGCCTTAACCGTTCCTTATCCTGAGGCACATAAATTCAGTTCATACCACCACAAGCTCTTTTTTCTAAGATATATTTAATATTATTATCCAACCTACGTCCATATCTTCCTAGTGGGGTCTTTCTTTCTGGTTCTCCCACAATCATCCTCTATGCATTCATATTCTCCCCACATGTGATGCGTGCTCTGCCTCTTTCGCCCATTTAAATTCATCACACTAATTATATTTTGTGAAAACTAGAAAATCGAAAGTCTTCATTAAACAGTTTTCTCCAACTTCCTGCCTTCCGTCCAAATATTCTCTTCAGCACCCTATTCTGGAACACTTTCCCTCTGTGTTCCTTAATGTTACTGTCCCAGTCTCAGACCCATACGAAAATACAAGCAAATTTTTGTATATATATTCCAACTGTCATATTTTTAGGAAGCAGACGAGAAAACAAAGGATTTTGCACTGAGTGGAAGCAAGCATTACCCGAATTCAATCTCATCTTTATTACTTCATGAATCGTATTTTGATTTACATCTGTCAATCCTAAAAATGTGAAATCGCAACATTTTCAACGTATCTATCAACACTCTTTGTGTAGTGATTCTTCCCAGTATTCATGTGATGAGACATCAGCATACATTTTGTTATCTGTTCTACCTTATATTCTAAACAATATCAGCAGCTGATGTGTCTTGAGCCGTGTCCCTTAACCCTGTGGGTCAAGAACCCAGTTCTCCTACCCACTTAGACCCGTGAACTCCTGTTCAATATGGGTAAGGGACAGGCTCATAAGAACGACTTGCTTGTACGTGATGTACTATGCCTCCCCAAGGTCGAGTAGGGGATCTCTGGAGAGGAAAACGGCTGTCGGCACTATGGGCCAAGCTGGACGGATCTGCTAGTCCGAACTGGTAGGGAATACACAACCCAAGTAAACACAAATACAACTGGCGTTTCCAAACATATAAATAAATGTATATATTGATAACATGAGTATACAGGTGTACTCTGCCTGATGGGCAGGGACTGGTCAAAACATAATCGACAGTTGATGCAGAACTACACTGTGCCTAGCCGCACAGACTCAAGTATGGGCACGCCTCATGGCATCTTTCAACTTCTCTAGGAAAAAACCTGTACTTCGGCAAGCCATAAGGGCACAAGGAAATATACACAGGTTACTTGCACGCCTGAGGGGCGATCGGCTGTTTAAGCCAACTCAACTCCAAGCAAATTAATTAACTTACGCCACATGGCGTCGTGATGAAAAGGAAACCATCTACAACAGTAAGTCACTTACTGGCGTTTCCAGAATTACAAACACAAGATTAACCTCACGACTTGATGCAACCTTGATCACGTCGTGAGGGCACTCTTCCCCCTTCAGACACTGCACAGGCCGAAACAGAATTTCACAAGATCAATTCAACATAAACGAAACTAATTTTGGAAGCAGCGATGTTACCTTGCTGAAGCTAACGGGGAGAGAGAACGATGCATTCGTTCTGAGTAAGCAGGAAACCTCGCATTGCGTCCAGGAGGGGGGAGACAAGGTCAGCTGACCTGACGTCAGCTAAGACATTAGGTGGAAAGAAGGAGGAACGGCTCGCATCCTGGCGTTTCGGGAGGGGGGACTCCAAGGAACTTCACGGAGAAGAACCGTTGCACGGTTCAGTCTCATTTCATTTCAATCCCACTTGGTTCTCCTGGACTTTGCGAGTGGTATATTCTGAGGCAAAGCTGAAAGGAGTGGCAATAATTCAACTCTTTCTTTTCAACACTTTGAACAGGAAATATATCATACAAACATCTAGCTATACAGACTTCTCTATAGGTTTCATTTAAACGTACTTTCATCAGCTTAACTAGTTTCATAGGTACCCAAAATTCTATGACACTCTTGTACAGTACTTCCCTTCTAGCTGAATCATACTCTTCTTTGAAGTCCATGAATAATTCATGTACTATCCCATTATATTCCAGTATTTTCTCCAGTTATGACGAATGCAAACGTATCATCAGTTGTTGATCTGTTATCTCAAGGCCTACAGTCATATTGTCTGTGTATGGACTTAACCTTAAGAAAATAATAATCTCTTTGAAGAAGCTGATTAGAGTGATATTCCTTGACAATTACTGCAGTCAGTATTACTGCCCTTCTTGCAATTGGTTAAATAATGTACTCCTTCCACTCACAAGGCAATCCTTGTTTACGCCAAATTGAATTAATGAGTTTATAGAACTCCAGCCACACATTTTCAAATCCTGCTTGAATCCGTTCTGGCGGAATTTGATTACTACCTGTCGTTTTATACCTGTATAAACATCTCAATAGCAATTTCAGTCTCAGATGTGCTAGGATCAGGTATGAATAGATCAGCTGCTTGTGTAACTAGCTGCCTAACATCACTGATTCCATGTACATTCAATAACTGATAGAATTAATTCTTAGACCTATTCAAAGTGTTGTGTTAATCTGCAAGAAGATCTCCATTCTCAACTATCACTTTTTATTTCAAGTTTCTTAAAAATACTCTTTCACCTTCCCTTTCTAGTCTGTTAATCTCTCTTAGATTAATTTATTTCACTATACAACGCTCACAGCCAGAAAGAATAGACATATCACAGACACAGTACACACCGAATTAACTCCCATTGTGTACGAACCATACTATATGCGAGTTTGAATTGAGACATGTAGATGAATAATCTTAACAAGTTTTAGTATACAGCGATATTGGGTTTTCGGACTTTATCCATCGTCCTGATTTTTAAGATAAGTAATAAGAAACACGACGTTTCGGAAACTGGATCTTTTTCCATCCTCAGATGAGGGAAAACACCTATTCTGTTGGTTCCCTTAGAAAGAGCTAGTCTCAATCACTGGACAACCGATGTCACAAAACACGAGGTTTATAAACACCTGATACCAGGAGATGGAAATATCGGGGTATCTTCTCCAAAGCCTTCCCTGTAAAGATGCCCTTCCATAGTCGACGGACCTCCAAAATTGCATTACGTGCCAATCAGGCACTTCTTGGGGATAGGATACACTATCACTGGCATAAGAAGACTTCTCAACGATATGAAATCAATCAACTGGATGATTTTCTCAAGTCATCTGTAAATATTTCCGACCAACAGCGTATATTTACCGATGTGGAAATTTCTTTCAAGAAAATCTTCAATAAGCAGAAAGATGTTCATATTCGCAAGTTTCCCATCTCAACACCTAACTAAATAGAGCCCCTTCAACCTCAGCCTCAGCATATAAGAAATTAATCCTCAGTCGATCCAAGTACATTTTAACGGGCTATGAAGAAGCAGTCTTTATGAAGGGTTTGAATTTGTCAGTAACACGATCACACTCAGGCTTGGATATGCATGTGCGGTAGAATCTGTTGTTTCGAAGCTTCCTCAATTGCCACACAGGGCAACAGGAAACCCACCCACACTGGCCAGTACCTCAACTTCATTTCTAACCATCCGCAACATGAAAAAAGTAGCTTGATTAAAAGTCTCCATGACAGAGCCTCCACCATATGCCAAGATCGACGAGATTTGGTCAAAGAAATTAACAACATGAGACACGATTTTCAGTTGAACGGTTATCCCAAAGGCTTCATTGACTCGGTCATTAATTCCAAGGGCAGTAGTCGTCAGAAGAAAGAGAAAAACCCTCTGTGTTCTGTATATATTCCATATGTGAAGGGTGTTTCTGAAAAGTTTAAGCGGATAGGTAATCGATATAATATTAGGACAATCTTCTGTACGAAACATACTCTTATGAACTCCCTTATGAAAACTAGACCGAAAAGATATCCGAAACAGACGGCACAGTGCGTCTATAGCATTCCCTGTGAATGTGGCAGAAGCTACATTGACGAAACAGGCAGACCTCTGGCCGTGCGGCTCCGGGAACACAGGCATAACTTCAAAGAAGGTCTTCTAGAAAAACCTGAACTAGCCCAACATGCCTATGAAGAGGGACATAGAGTAGGCTGGGACAAAGCTAAGATTTTTGGATATTGAAAGCCACATCAAGTATAGGAAATACAAAGAAGTGGCCCATATGGCATGCTCGGCCAACCCAATTAGCCAACCCTGTTGGGACTTTTCTCCCATTTGGATCCCCATTATCTGCAATGGAGTCACCAATTCACATAGAAGATCTGTATGACGAGATATATGTTTTTATTGATTTCTATTAGGTTCTAAATTAGACGTGATTTACTCAATTGTTGACGCTAGTTAGACACTATTAGTTTTTTTACTAGTTCTCTTTCCATTCTATGCCATGGGGTCATGGACCTGATTATTAGTTTGGTTTCGTGACATAAATTTCTACGGCTCTATCCTGGTTCCACGATTGTATGTGTTTGTAACAATTGTTATGAATATTTTTCTAATTAGCTCTCATGGACTTAGCCTGGTCTCAGGTGTTTATAATCCTAGTGTTTTGTGACATCGGTTGTCCAATGATTGAGACTAGTAATTGAATCAGTTTCCGAAAAGTCGTGTTTTTTATTAGTTATCTTAAAAACCAGGACAATGGATAAACTCCGAAAACCCAATATCCCTGTGTGTTATACACCATCGTTAGAATCCTATAGTAAGTTTTAGTATTGTAACGTGTTGGGTTACTGAATACGCCGTAGAGATCTTTAATTGGTTTATTTAACAACCTACAAGTAACGGCTACCATTAATTATAACACAGTTGCGGGTTTCCACACTTTACAAACCCTACGACCAAAGTCTTCACGTACTAATAACGCGGGAGCTATACAAGTCTCCCTGAATTACGCACTTTCACTCGTAACACGCCGCTGGCTAGATTCCAACTCTGTTCGCAGGCTGCTGCGAGCAGAGTTGCACTGGCTCGACTACTATTTAACTCGGCGACTGTCACATTACAACTGACTCGCAGCAGCTGTGCAGTTCCCTTATATAGCCGCGGTGCTTGCCTGTTGCGTAATGAGTGCCACGTCATCCTGTTACGTCACCGCGCGGAGAGTGGCGGGGTGACGACTCGCCTATTACGCGAGCGCTAAGTTACCGCCACGTGCCGCTGGGGAGGTAAGGATCCTCCGTTGCGTAACATGTCACACTGCTGCCTCCTTAAGTCTGTTCGTCCCGAATAGCCTAACGGTGCATCCCCGTTCCTTTGCTTCGGAGGCTGTTCTTGCAGCCTCTGTTCTCCGGCTGTTACAATCGCTCCCTTCTTAAGACCAACTCGTCTCGAGCGGTTTCCTTTCAGCTCGCCAGAAGATCCAGTTGTATTCCATTCATCCATCGCTTTCTCCCATGGCACATTCACTTTCTCTTGGAAGGCCGGTTCTTCTACATTACCGGTTCCTCCTATGCTTGAAGTCTCTTTTTCCGTTTTGGAGGGGTTCGTCCCCTCCACAGTGTCCAGTCCTGGTTTATGTCTTCCATGATAATTTCCTTATGTCGACGTAACAGCCCTTGATGCGTTGTTTGCACTTGCTGACGTCGTCGTTCCTCCTGGTCCTCCCGCCACTTGCTGGCATGAGACCATGGCGCCAAGTCCTCTTTCCGGCATCCGAAGGTTCCCTGGGGAGTTTCCTTCTTGAAGGCATTTCTCAAACGTCGTGCCACTGTCGCGCGACGGGATATCTTCCTGCAGATGGCAGCCAACTTCATCCTGGGACTCGAAAGCCTGGCGAGGAGAAAAGGCGGCGGCCGACAAGGAAGAATTGAAGGCCGAAATGCGATCTATGCGGTCAGAGTTGGATGATCAAATCCAACATAGAGTCGAAAACATTTTGGCGATCGTTGAACACGACAAACAGACTCTCCGGTCAGAAATAACTGAGCAGATTGAAGTGTCCCTCTGCGCGCGGACAGATAAACTCCAGGAAAACCTGAGGAAAACTACAACGAAACCTGCGCACCAATTGACGAAACCAAACGCGAGTTCCAGGCCCGGTTGGACATAGTGCAAATGAAGGCCGAGGGGGGAAATACGTCAACGATCGTCGCGAGCACAACTCAGCCACCGACGGGAATTCAACGTGGAGCGTGTTCCGGTGACAATTCGAGACCGTGGCAGAACACAACCAATGGTCGGACCGGGAAAAATCCACATACCTTATTACTGCCCTGAAGGGTCGGGCGGCGGAAATACTACCCGGCATTCCGACAAATACGACTTATGAGGAAACACTTCAGGCTCTAGAGGACCGTTTCGGGGACCAAAACTTTGCAGCTGCTTACCACTGCCAATTAAGAACGAGGACGCAGAGACCTGGAGAATCCCTGCAAGACTTTGCCACGGCCATTGAACTCCTTTCCCGTCGTGCCTACACAAATGTACCTGCTGACCACATAGGAAGAGAGGAGGAAAGAGAAGTAAGAGATGGAGGAATGTAGGAGGAAAGAGAAGGAAGAGATGGAGGAATCTAGGAGGAAAGACAAAGAAGATTTCCTGGCCAAATTAGACTCCTGTCAAGAAAAGGCGGAGATCAGCCACAAGGAACTCCTAGCCAGAATGGCCGCCTGGCGAGAGAAGACTTCGGCTGAGATGAGAGCAACCCAAGCAAGGGCGGCACAAAAAGAAGAGGTCTCCATAGTGATACCGGTGGGAGAGACGATGGCCTGCCAAGAAATGGAGGCACGTCTAGAAGATGAAGAGCCGGCCTCAGTGCACAGGAAACCTGAGGCGGCAGAACAACGAGAGATACCCATAATAGACGCCGAAGTAATGCCGGTCGGAGAACCGAAGAAGAAAAGGCGCAGGGACCGAAAGCGACGAATTATGAAGAACCCGACACGGAAAAATTGCGGACTCCAAAATAAATTGGCCGTCGTCAGCAAGAAGGTGTCCCGCCATGCAAGAGTGGCATGGAGCAAGAGGAACATCTTCAGGAAATCTTGGACCCTAAGAGATCATGCGCCCCAGATGAAGTTGGCTGCCATCTGAAAGGC